CTGTATGTGTGTATTTAAGGTCGTGTTCACACCTGACAATTTGCTCTGTTTTAAAAGGACCAGAGTTCATTTCCAGCATTGGTCGGACTTTTTGTGCAGGTGTGAATACACTCATGCGAACTCTGGTGCGGATCAAACAACCGGACCGAGACCCGCTTTTTGAGGTGGCCTCGGTTATCTTCCAAACGAACTCTGGTGTGGTTCGCTTCAGTTTGCTTCTGGTGTGAATACAGACCGGATTTGAACTGAACTAACTGCATTAAACATGCACCTTTTTGGACTTCACAGGCCGCCATTGCTGAGCTAAATAAACTGAAACCATACCTGTTTCATCGTCTCCTGCTCAGCATGTTGTGGGTCAGAACACACAGAGCACATCGTCTCCAGTGCTGGCTCTAGCCACTTTGGTGCCCTAGGCAAGTTGAAGCACACCCCTCCACCCCGAACTATGCCCCACCCACCCCAATTTAAACCCCTAAAAACAAGTTTGACAGTGAAAGGTACTATGGTAAACTTAGATTTATTTGCTTTCCCAGAAAGCAAATCAATAACAACATACATGTCAATTTGTACGGATTGTCCGTAAGTTATAAGGATTTTACGTCATTTTGCAGTTATAATGACGTATAGGGCAATCTCATAGATTTTTTTCAAAACCTCATTTTCAAAATTATCTAATATTTCAGAGCCTGTAGGATGATTTAAAAAACAATAAATAACATTAGCCATCTTCCAACCTGTTCKGCCGGTAGAATTAAGTTTTGAACTTTTTCTGCTCTCCTTTCCTCCTGCTTCGCAGCGAGCCTGGGTAGAGTAGTTTATTTTTCCTTTAATACTTCATTATAGTTTTTTAAGAAAATGCTAATTGAAAGGGGCGCTGAGCAGAGTTACAACCAGGGATTACAAATAATTATTTTTTTCTTCTGCAGTTCGGCACCCCCTAAATTTGGGAACTCTTCTAAATATTCCCAAGTTTATCCAACTGCATGGTACAATCAGAAACAAAAGTATAGTCCCAATGTCCTCAAATGAGCACTTAAATTTTTCCAACATTGTACTTTGCTACTACTGCAAACATCGGTCAAGTTTGCTTGCCTTATGAAGCCAAAGATGTAACTGTGCATAAATATATTAGTTTCAGGCAYGACATGATTTGAATTTTTACCTTGCCCATTTTTCTGACGAGAGTTGCTTTAGAYATTTTATGTGTAGAGCTCCTCATTTAAGCCACTTTGTGTTGCACACTCCACAGTTCTTATAGTTCTGTGATAGTAGCTTCAGTTCAGAAAACCCACATCATTGAGGGACTGGCAATTTACAATCAGTCAAAAGTGCTTCTCTAAAATTTGAATGAATAATTTTTACTTTAGCTGAGTTTAATGGGAACATGGCTGCACAATGTTACAAAATGTGCAAGTGTGGTATTGTTGAATATTGAGATGACAGTAACATAATTTGGAATAAACCCTGTGGTACTGTCACTACARCACTCTTTAATGTTGCTTTAGAAATTAGCTGTAGCATCTTAGCTACTTTTTTCTAAATCAGTGAGCAATTACGATAGTAGGGGTGTGTGATTCCCATCTGTAATTCATTCTGGGCAATTACAGTAGTTTTACCGTTTTAAGTTAACAAAAAAACGACACAACAAATTTGAAATTATTTTAGTTTTAGTGCCCCTGATTTTTCAGTGCCCCTTCTCCAACAAATAATAATAATAATAATAAAAATTCTGGCAGCTCCACTGTTTTTTTTGTCAGAACTTCAGTCAGATATTAAAACTGTGTAGCTACCATACTTCTAGAAAGTATAATCATATGTTATTTTTGCTGTTTGTCTCTTTTTCTTTAGGACAACCCGGCCCACAAGGTATCAAGGGAGAAAGAGGATTCCCTGGAAATCTTGGTCTTGTTGGGCCTCCTGTGAGTAGTTCTTAGTTTTTTTTATTATTATTATTTGTGCAGTGGGACTTGACAGTTTTTGAAGTAAATACCACCTGAATTATCATCATATTTTACACTAGCTAAAAAGTAGAAAGATTAAAACTCATTAAGAACAATGGATTAACCTGATGAATGGTTTGGCTTAAACACCCTCTATGTTCAAAAGTACAACAGTTGGATTTGTAATACATATTTCTCATTTATTTGAAAGCTTATGCCATTATTTGTTATTTTTCATCACAAGTTAAATTTTGTTGAAAACCAAATAAGCTTGTTTGACCTTTTTTTTAAATTTCATTTGTAGGGTAGGCCTGGTCCTCTCGGTGCTCCAGGCCTCCCAGGAGAAAAGGGAGACCCAGGGGATGCCCTTACAGTCCCTGGTCTTAAAGGTGCAAAGGGTGACACTGGCTTTCCTGGATCACCCGGTCTGCCTGGTCTGGATGGCCAACCTGGACGTGATGGCCAACCTGGACCTCCTGGTCCCAAGGGAGTGCCTGTTGGTGTCTTTTATGAGCAATAAGCATTTGCCCATCTGGAATTGGTATCAACCCAATCGTTCACGTTTTTTTCATAACTCGCATCCCTGTAGGGCTCTTTATTGCTGAAAGGCGATCGAGGGCTTCCTGGTGAGCCGGGTTTGCCTGGCATTCCTGGAGACAGAGGTCCCCCAGGTCCCCCTGGATTTGGACTTCCAGGACCAGCAGGAGATAAAGGAGTTCAAGGCATCTCGGGGAGACCTGGAGGTCAAGGTTTACCTGGTAAGCAAAAATACAAGGACCTTGGATTTTTTTCTTCCTTAAATACTTTCATTAGATCACATCACTTAGGATTTATCTTGTTCAGATTGTATAAAAGGGTACCTTTTTTGGAACAAAGTTTTTTCTTCCATGGGAGGACATATCAATAGTGGGACCTCTGTTCTTCTCTGTTCTGGATATGTGTATATATATATACATATATAAATATGGATTCTGATCACTGGATTCTACAGATTGGCTTGGTGGTCTCCTGGTGTTCTACAAAACATAGGTGGCTTTTCATTTCCTGGCTGACTGAAAAATATGAAAGGATGGCCGTATTCTATCAGCACTCAGACATTGGGCCTTGAGCGAGCTGGACTCGGCCTGCAAGCGGTTCTGTTGATGGTCGCGGACCGGCTGTGGTCCCTGGACTTTGCTGGCCAGATGGAATTGATCTTGGAGAAGCTGATAGCACAGCTCGGCAGAATTGTCCACACTATTTGTCTGATTGGATTCACCACCTTGGGATGTACCAGCAGACATTGAAGCAGATGGAAAATTGTTATTGTCTGCCTGACTCTTTCTGTTCCCAAAACAACTGATTACAGATTTGGCTCTCCTACATGGCCTTGAAGAGCTGTGGACTAAATTCTTCCTGGCTGGGTTACGTCGACTGAGGCTCTGCCTCACACCTCCCCCCCTCTCACACCCGTCTGTGATCTGGTTCCTGGAGCAAGCTGAAGGCCGCACAGAATGAACAGTTACCATCTATATTCTGAACTATGGCTGTGCTGGTTTTAGGGACTGGATTCTTCTGGCTCATTCTGCAGATATTCACACAAGTGCATTCAACACTCATGGCTTCAGATACACGCCCCCTTAAACTCACTTACTCCTCTGGCTAATAAATGTGCTCTATGCAGAGGTGTTTTTTATAAACATCGTAGCGTGTGACATTGTTGACATAATATGATGTTTTTTTTTCCCTCATCTTCCCTTGTGTGGTTTTTAGTTTTTCTGTTAAGGGTTGTGCCTCCTCATGATGTCTTCATGAAGATGATCCTTGCTCTGTGCTGGGGTCTGTGGCTGCATGACCCAGGGCACCTGTTTTCCCATGTTTGTTGTTTTCTGTCATGGGTGTTCTGAACTGTAATTTCATTGTGCTCTGTACAATGGCAATAAAGGTCTTTCTAATCTCTAATCTAATCTAAAACTGGTTCAGGGAGTGTGAAATGTTGTTTTCACATACCGGGATACCCAACAAAGACACCAACTTCAAACATCATTCAGTAGGTTTATGGTGTTCTTGAAGACTTTACGCAGCAGTCTACCTTTTTTAACATTAATACCATGTTTGTTTGTTTGTTTGTTTGTTTGTTTGTTTGTTTGTTTGTTTTTCAAACAGCTTAAAATAAAATGTGTTAAGGTTAGCTAAAAGACAATCAAAAGGTCTGCATGTGGATTGCTTCAAGTATGCATACTTGACTGTATTTGTGAGATCAAGAAAACATTTAATGTTTCATTTCTTGTGTAGGTCCTAAAGGCGAACCAGGACTTACAATATCAGATAAAGGTCTACCAGGACCCAAAGGGCAGGATGGTGAGCCAGGACTGCCAGGTGCACCAGGTACACAATCTCACTTGTGGAATAAAGCACGTTTTTCTGCCATGGATAACTACAGTAACATACCTTCTGCTATCAGGTTCCCCAGGTCTGCCTGGTCAACCTGGTTTTACAGGTTTACAAGGACCAAAAGGTGATCCTGGATTATCAGGAATTGGGCTCCCAGGTCCTTCAGGGGCTAAAGGTAACATGTGTTACCTATCCTCCTCTTGCCGTCACACTTGCTTCTGTGAATCTTTGTCTCCTAGTCTCTTTCTTTTGGATTCTCGTTACCTTGTTATGTCTTCTCCAGGATTCCCAGGTATTGCTGGTCAGCCAGGAGCTCCTGGAAAACCAGGGAGGCCAGGAATAGATGGATTTCCTGGCCAGCCTGGCCTTCCTGGACCCAAGGTGAACATGTGTAGTTTACCTAGCAGAAACAGAAAGTTGATTACAAAGCAGATGGCAATTTTTTTGTTGTGGATAAATTATGTACTGTTTACCTAATTCTTTTGTACCTGAAGGGCTAAAATGAACAATCTTGTATGTGTTATAGGGTGAACCCGGGTTTGGGCTTCCCGGTCCTCCAGGTTTACCAGGACAGCCTGGACCTAAGGGTTTCACAGGACCAAAAGGAGACCCTGGTTTCCCTGGAAACCCTGGTCCTCCAGGTCGGCCTGGATTTGACGGACCTACAGGGTCAAAAGGTGCAGTACATGGTGGTGTATTTTTGAAGTCTGTTGCAACAGTTTGGGGTTTACAAACACATGTAAACCTTCTTAAAATACTCATTTAACAGCCTCATTGTTATTTATTATTGTCCAGGTGAACCCGGTACACCTGGAATACCTGGCGGTCGTGGGCCACCTGGATTGCCCGGTATTGGTTTACCGGGACCTGCAGGTCCCCCAGGTCCTCCAGGTCCATTAGGACCACCAGGTAAGGCACAATGAATTGTAATAGGGTTTTTTACCTCCGCCAAGGATGAGGTAATGTTTTTGGTTGCGTATGTCTGTCCGTCTGTCATTCTGTCGTTCTGTCTGTGGACAACGTTACTCAAAAACTTGTGGACAGATTGTCATGACATTTTTACTACATGTGTGTACTGCCCTCAAGTAACACACCATTAATTTTTGGTGATGTTCCGGATCACGATGCGGATACAGGAATTTTTTTTTATTTTAAAACCATTATTTATTTTTTTCATGTCCCAATTCAGTTTCAATGTGTCCAGCAGGTGACACTGTAGTATTGGTGCTTACATCTGTGTTGTGACATTGATTCAATTTTATTACCTACGCCAAGGGCGAGGTAATGTTTTCGGTGGCGTATGTCTGCATATATTTTCAGCTAAATAGCTTTGAATACATTGAAAGTTTGATTTCCATCATTTACTATTATGTCTAAATACATGCAACATTATGTTACTATATTTACTATAAAGCACTGCAAATGTGACTTTTCCAAGGGAAACCTTGTAGCATAATTGACCCTATTGCCTTGGCGGAGGTTTGCGCTCTTCGAGTGCTTCTAGTTTTCTGTATAGATTTGGTAACATTTAAAATGTTAATGCCGTACCTGAGTTTCTAAGAAAGGCCAAAACAAAAAATTTTCGGCCTGATGTAAACTTGCAAGTTTTTACTTGAAATCACACTGCCTTGCTACTTGTGACACTTTTGCGTACTTACATCAGTTTTCGCCCTAGATTACCAAGACCAGAGCACTTGTCGGACCATAAATAGTGGTGGGGGAGTGTAAGCAGAGTGTTACATTGCTAATGCTAGATTGCAGCTACTTACCCTGGAGCTAAAATCTATGCTTCCCATCCAGAAGTTACAGAACTTGCGATGACAGGAGGTCAATTTTGATAGGCAGGGCAGTCGGTTCTGTTGATTTGGATAATTGTGTTGCTCAACAATCCAAGGAACTGGTGCTCAAACTTTCTTGCCTCAGTTAAGTCTCAAATGGTCTGAACTTTGTCTCAATTTGATTACAATTTATATTCATTCGTTTTTTTTTTTTTGTCTTCAACAAGGCACAGTTTGGTTTTGGGGCACCAAACCCTCTCAAAGTCATTTCACATTTTCTGACTCACGTAAACATAATTGAGGAAGGTTTGCGACAGGTTCCAGAATGATCTTTGCAGGTTGTGTCCAACAGTCAGATCCTAGAATGCATCAAGGCAAACCTTAAGGCGTGAAAGGTTTTGTAACCCAATACTGGAACCATTTTATGGCAACTAAATGATGAATGATGCTACATGACATTTTAGAATAAGATGATTCATGTTGCTAATAATATATTTGTCCTAACTTTTTGTGTGCTGCAAATTTTAATCATGATTGTCTTGTAATTTGCAAGCATTTAATCAGTAATGCAGTGAATTTYACACCTGTTCTGTATTTGTAAACCCTAGTAAGCTGACTAAACAGAAGTTCCTTTTCATTCAGTTTTCTAGGATGGCAATGACTTGAATGATGGGCCTTTTCAACACTATTTTTAAAAATAGATTTTCTGCTGTTTGCACCTTTCATTCACACACAATAAAATATCTTAGGTTAACTTGACATTGTGTAGCTAACAAAATGAAAGACTTCACAGTTGAAACTTWCCTCAAACTGGATTTTACTTGAGTTATAAATAGTTGGCTATAAAGGGATTAGGTAAGTGGTCACTTGAAAGGAAAAGTCTACCAAAAATTAAAATTCAGTGGAAAAAAGTAGTCTGTCTTATCAGAAAAAAAGGGAAATTCAAAAAGTGTTTTGATATTAGGGAAATAAATGTTTAATGTCTTTATAGGCTATCCGGGAGCAAATGGACCAAAAGGAGATCCTGGTCCCCCAGGTCTAGACATCCCAGGTCTACCAGGAGACAGAGGAAGTCCTGGTTTCCCAGGTCTCCCAGGATCAATAGGACCTCCAGGACCCCCTGGAGGACCTGGGCGGGATGGAATACCAGGACCGTTAGGTAAAGAACTGTAGCCATAAATCATCACGGCTATGATGTACTGTAGCAGTTGTTCCCAAACTTTTCAGCTTCTGACCCATAACATAGATGCAGCAGAGGCTTGTAACCCCAACCATCATTGGTTTGCATTCCCAAATTTTGATTATTACCCTGCTGAAAAGATTAAAATTACTCTGAGGTACTTCGTGAAATTTCAGCTCATTATTCATAAAATGGTAAATAAACTGTACGTACAGTATATAGCACCTTTCTATCCAACCATGATACTCAAAGTGCTTTATACTACAATCTGTGTCCTCATTTACCCCTCCACATTGCACTCCATTAGGTCTCTACAATCTAACATGTACAAATCAGCTACGGAGGCTAATCATTGCCAATTACATTCATTCACTGATGGGACACACATCAGTGGCATTAGGGGTGAAGTATCTTGCCCAAAGACACAACTTAGACAGCTGGAATGGGGAAAGATATAAAATAATTAAGTGTCTAATAACAAAAGAAAGCTTTAAGACATTATTAAATATAGATACAATGAGTTTTATTGGAATAATAGCATTGGAGTTGTACTTTTCTGTTTAGATCCTGGACCTGCTGCCTTCACAGCTTCACTTCAGAAAAAGATGGATTTATTTTATTCAATGGTAATTTACTTTACTGTATATTGAAACAAACCTTTAACTCTGCATGATGTGCTGCTGTAGGTCAGAAAGGAGACATGGGTCCTATGGGACCTCCAGGACCTCCTGGGGGACCTGGCGCACCAGGAGGACCTGGCCTGGCAGGATTAAAAGGTATCTACATGCTCCATATTTCAATATAAACAAATTTCTTCAGTCAGAATGTATTAGACAAAAGGTACGTTTAATGCATGAAATTAGAAATGGAATGATTTACCATTCAATGAACAAGAAGAAGCTTCTTGCTGTAAGAAAGGTCATAGAAGTCATAACAACATAACAAAATTTGTTTGGCTCAAACTATAACCAGGCCAGTTGTGGCATGCCATCTTAAAAACAGTGCCATCATTGCCAGACCTGGCCCACGTCCAATTGACAAACCACTTACTATGCCAGCAGTGCCAGCTTGACATCACATCTGGCCCACACCTGTCTGCTGTGTGGGATTGTATCCTAAAAACTAAATCTATTATTAACCAGCTGGCATAGATGTCGATTAAAAATCAAAACCTAGCATCAGAAAGCTCCCAGCAGGGTTAGCAGACACCATWTTTATCAACAAAGACAAAAAAAAGCATCTCCCAGATTCTCGTGTYGATGCTCCACAGGCGAACCAGGATTCCCAGGTAGAGATGGTGCACCAGGCGTTAGTGGGCTTAAAGGCGAGAGGGGAGATACTGGACCTCTAGGACCCCCGGGAATCTTTGTGCCAGCAAAGGGAGAAAAAGGAGATCGTGGACTCCCAGGTACAACTGAAACCATCGAAACGTCGCATCAAAAACTGAATTTAATAACAGCTTGTTCTTACTGTATAGTCATGTACACACTGAACCCCTCTGTGTGCAGGTCTACCAGGACAGTCGGGACCAAAAGGTATCTCTGGTCTTCCTGGTGACCCTGGAGTAGCAGGAGAAGATGGGCTCCCTGGAATTCCCGGACCACCAGGTAAAGGGTTTCAACATCCTCGCTACAGTGAATGTGTAAATGGTTCTCTAACTTGATGATCTTTTGGGGGAGCAGGTCCTAAAGGAGAGCCTGGAATTCCAGGTGTTCCAGGTTCTTCTGGGCTTCCAGGACCAAAAGGCAACATGGGAGAAATGGGAATTCCAGGTTGGTGAGCATTCTTATTACATCTTTGCGCTCCTGTTACTACTAAAGTTAACTTTTTTATTTGCATGAAAAGTTACATTTATTGCTGCAATTTGATTCTGTCATGATAAAAGATCTTGACTCTACTCACGACTGTTTTATGTCCTTCTGTAATATTACAGGACCTCCAGGGCTGAAGGGTGGATTCGGTTCCCCAGGTAGGCCAGGACCGCAAGGTCAGGCAGGAATTCCTGGCAGCCCGGGACCCAAAGGGGACCCAGGTTCTGCTGGCGTCGGACCACCTGGAATTCAAGGACTGAAGGTGACAGACTCAACTCTTTTGCACCTCTTTGTTTACTATTATTCGAAGGTTTTCAATGTTGTTCACACTTTAGTTCTCTTTACGTCTCTTGTAGGGTGAGCCAGGCCAGCCAGGATACCCAGGAAGTCCTGGACTAAAAGGAACCCCGGGACAACCTGGTCTCCCTGGTTTACCTGGCATACCTGGTGAGAAAGGTGACCCCGGACTCCCAGGATTTCAAGGTGAATATGGAAGTTAATAAGGTGACATTTACTACAAAAGGCATTTCATGTGTTTGAAGCCATGTTTTTTTGGCTATTTAGAATTTGTATAATTAGAATTAAACCTGTTGAGACTGAAAATGACCTTGTTGAGGGAGAATATTTTAGATAATGTAGTGTAACAGAAACACAATGAATGATTATACGGTCATGCAAAAAAATACCATTGTACCAATGGTACCATTGTACCATTGTATTAGCATCAACATAAAAGCGACTCATTAGTCTTTTCTCTCCTGTTAGGTCCCCCTGGTGGCCCTGGTCCTAAGGGTTTCGATGGCGGGCCTGGTGCCCCTGGTCTCCCGGGAACCCTAGGTAGGCAAGGAGAGTCTGGTCGACCAGGACCACCAGGACTGATCGGAGAGAAAGGCCAACCAGGTCGAGATGGGATCCCAGGGCCGGCCGGAGTCAAAGGAGAGCCAGGTAAGGCCCAGGTCATTTAAACTGGGTGTTTAATAAATACTCTTCTAACAAGTTCAACTAGGCTCAGATGTGGGGTTTTTTTTCACCTTAGGGATTCCTGGTTTTGGTGGTCCAGGCCCCTCAGGGCTTCCAGGCCCACCAGGTAAGTCACCACAAAGTCTACTCCACACACCTGTTGTAAATATTGTCTACAATCACATTTCTTTCTGGTATTATCTGTGAAGGTGCTAAGGGAGACATAGGTCCTCCTGGTCAACCTGGCACTCCAGGTTTCCCTGGTATCAAAGGAGACCCCGGCCTGCCTGGTACCCAAGGCCCCCCAGGTTCTACTGGCCCTCCAGGACCTCCAGGACTGCCTTTGCAAGGCCCTAAAGGAAATCAAGGACCCCCTGGACCACCTGGAAGAGGAGGTAAAGCACCTAGATAGCTTTTCTTTATTATTATTCCATGCACTGCTCCAAATTTCTGCCTGGTTTTTGATGCTGGAAAAAGGAAAGTGGTAATTTAGTTTTGCTTATTTTTAGATATTGTAATTCATTTCAGAATAAAGTGACTGATTGTCTTTTCATCTAACCAGTGAAAAACCAGGCAAAAATGGCAAAAACTCCACTCTAAATTATGCCAATACTTTCACCACCATGGTTTTTTGATTTGCATGTTGTTGATGTTTTACCATATCAACAAAGGAGCCATGTTACTGTTGTGAGCACCGAAACACCTGATCCACACCTTGTTACTAGAACATGTTCCCTCTCTCAACCATGTTCGAAAAATATGCTTATTTTTCACGTTATTGTGCTTTTGTCATCATCAAATTTTATTTTTTTTTATTTTTGATCTATTCACCCTTGTGTTTCCTCACTCACTTTTTCTTATTTATTAATTACAATATAAGGGTGGTGTAAATGTAGCTTGTTTGTGTTTCCTATTTCTGGATTGGTTTTTGATTTCTTTTTTTAATTTTGTGGGGGCGGGGGGAGAGAGAACTGAGTCAAACACAAACTGGGAAAACTCCATATGTATAGTTATTGCACTTTCCCCCAACCCTTCTATCATTTTATTTAGCAATAAATCTAAAATTACACAAGAGTTTAGAGTTTGTGTTTGGCTTTGCCATCCTGATTGGTTTTTTTTTTTCACACCAATCAAGTCACCTGCATGAAAACTGTTTGTTCCAACACACTTGTGTACAGACTGTATATTGACAATAAGCCTCACACAGTGTTGGACAATCAACCTCAACTCTGGAAAGGGAAAAATATTATTTTATTTTTTTTCTCCTGCTGCTCTTGAGACAAAATTACCCCTGAGTCTTCAGCCTTAAAGGGATTTTACATGTTGGCCTTAATATGTTCGTATTTCTCTTTTCTACTAAAAGTTATTTGTGACATGGGAAAACATCTAATTAAAAATTTGTTTTGTATTTCTCTTAAGCAAATCGCCATTCTGTTACAAATCTAATGCATTCTGGGGATGATAATGATAATGATGATGATAGGTTACACTTGTGACTAAAACACAAAGAGTCAAGACTAAAAAAGCTATAATGTGTGACAATAAAGTTATATTTTGAATTAGTATATTTTCTGCAAAATTTATGGGTTGAAACAATCAAACATGATGTTTAGTAAATTAGCTCTTGAGCTAACGCTATATATATATA